AAAGAAAATGAAGCCAGAATTTACACTTGGGGTGCAGAATCAGCAAGGACATTCTTACCCAGCTCAAGTTCACACTACCACAAGAACGTATGAAGCGGTGGAGAATTGTGGCAAACCACACATGAAGGGATTGCAGTACCAGAATGAACACGTGATAAAGTTATCAGTCCGCTTGCGACTTGAACAGCCACATCACCTTGATATGCTTTTTTTGTCGACATAGCTCTGGCTTCAAACTGCGTATGTACAGTGCTTCCAGAGGGGGCACGCACACGCGCACACACACACACACACACACACACACACACACACACACACACATACACACACACACAAGAGTATGTACAGCGCTTCCCGAGGGGGCATGCACACACACACACCTTTGACCTTTGACCTTTGACGCCCATCGCCGGAGGCGATGATAGCAATGCTACGGCAGAAGCCATAGCAACTTGTGCTGGGATTGCACCATTCAACAGCTTGCAAGGCTGAAGAATTGACCGTCACTATTCAGCCTGGTCTACACCATACAGCTATTTGAAGACACACACACACACACACACACACACACACACACACACACACACACACACACACACACACACACACACACGAGCGTGCCCACGCGAGCCAGGGTGCGCATGCACATACGCACACATGCACACACACATGCACACACACACACACACACATACACACACCCACACACATATGAGCCAGCACTCAAGCACACAAACACACACACACACACACACACACACACACACACACATGAGCCAGTGCACACGCACGCACACAGAACCTTCCAAAGTGTCCCCTCTTAGAGGTGCGAGCAAAGTCCCATTTAGAAGAACTTTTTTGAACTTTGCTCCCGGACTATGTTGATGATGAGGCCATTACAAAAGTTATCTGAACTGATAAGGGAACTGTGTACCCTTATCATTTCAGATAACTCTTGTAATAATCTGCTTTGCAGAATGATACGAAAACTCCTATGCACCGTCATGCTGTTAGCATGCACTAGTATCGATTTGACAACCCAACAGGCAACAGCAAGAGTGTATAAACCAGAGTGTGTGTGCATCCATGTTGCATAAAACCAAGAGTACATAACCCCCAGAGTGTGCAACGCCTGGTCCAGCTCTGCATAGGGTCTTGGTCGAGCGTAATCGGATCTTTGCGTCATAATACCGTACACTAGGCGTCTGAGCGGAACCCGGGGAGTCACGGGTACTCTCGGATTAAAAACAATGGTGCCTTGCCTCGAGACCGGCCTTGCGCTGGTATGGAGTGCACGCATGACATCAGAAGATCCAATTACGATCGACCAAGACCCAATGCAGAGCTGGATCAGGCGTTGCACACTCTGGGGGTTATGTACTCTTGATAAAACCAATGACGCGGTGATGTTTTTTAGTCTAGGTCATCTGAATCATGAATCATAGAATGTGGTCTTCGGGTCGTTCATAAATGACGGATTTTTCATTGAATATGGAACAGAAAGATTACGAACAATGGAGGAATTGAAAAAGAAAATGTACGAAGATGGGAAGGAACTAGTAAGAAAAGTGAAATAATTAGATAATAAGGTGCATCTAGCTAATAGATTTGAACAACACCTGGTCCAGCTCTGCATAGGGTCTTGGTCGAGCGTAATCGGATCTTTGCGTCATAATACCGTACACTAGGCGTCTGAGCGGAACCCGGGGAGTCACGGGTACTCTCGGATTAAAAACAATGGTGCCTTGCCTCGAGACCGGCCTTGCGCTGGTATGGAGTGCACGCATGACATCAGAAGATCCAATTACGATCGACCAAGACCCAATGCAGAGCTGGATCAGGCGTTGCACACTCTGGGGGTTATGTACTCTTGATAAAACCAATGACGCGGTGATGTTTTTTAGTCTAGGTCATCTGAATCATGAATCATAGAATGTGGTCTTCGGGTCGTTCATAAATGACGGATTTTTCATTGAATATGGAACAGAAAGATTACGAACAATGGAGGAATTGAAAAAGAAAATGTACGAAGATGGGAAGGAACTAGTAAGAAAAGTGAAATAATTAGATAATAAGGTGCATCTAGCTAATAGATTTGAACTCGGATGTTGAGTTAAAGTAATCATGGATAAAAACAAAGGACAAAATGTTACGAGTTATGATTAAAATAAATTAAATCAAATATAGTCATCGAGTGCTACAAAATCGCACAAAACTGACAAGGAAATTTTGCCAATCTACGTGGGCCTCATCCCGTGCTGCGGCCCACAGTTAATTGGGAACTCGTGGCCTGGCACGAGTGAAACATGGATGCAGTGAATGGAATTTTTGTCTTTGACCACATTGTGGGTCGCTCTGATCTACTTATCTCCTATCGCTTTATGAGCTGCATCTGTGCCTTGATCCTAGAGGGTGGTGGTGTTCCTGCCTTGATCCTTGAGGGTGGTGGTGTTCCTGCCTTGATCCTTGAGGGTGGTGGCATTCTTGCGGATGTGAACAACTAGGCGTCCAGCCAAGCCTCACGTGAACCGTGAATTTTTTTACCGTATGCCGCTATGAAAAATATCAGATTATGAGATTTTAAGGACATGTTGTGTGATTTTGTCCATAGGGCCTACTTTGTACAACAAATTTCAGAACTATCACCTGCTGCAATCTTCCATAGCTTCCCCAATTTGTGTTCGCATAAAAGTCATTGTGAGCATGGTGAAATAACAATAATGTCGCTGTTTTGCAGCTTATTGCGTGTCAAGTCACACCCTTACTCAGGAGGAAAGAGAAAAGGCTATAGGGGGTATTTGGGCAAATTCCTGCTGTAGAACCTCCTTTCAATTCGGAAATGTGGTATGTCATTCCAAAAAAACATGGAAAAAGAAGAAGAAAAAGTCGCTCCTGAGGGGCTCGAACCCATGAGCCGCAGAAAGTAATAATGTCTCCACTCATGATCTGCACAGAAGGATGCTGAGAAGACCAGTTTGTGACACCCAATTGAGCAACCTTCAAAATCCTTCCTTATGCAAATTTGTTTATGACCCACTGCCCCCCTCCTCTCTTTCCCATTACTTGTTTCTATTTCCCCCGTACTTGTACCAATTAGAAATTTTTGGAAAAACTTCTGAAGAACTGCGTCCATTTAAGTACCGTATTTTTACCGGTTGTAAGTTGACCCCGGTTATAGGTCGACCCCCGTATCCGGAGGTCTCGATTCTGCGTTTTAAAGTGTTCACCCAACGAAGCACTACAAACCACCTCCTGCTACTAACACATCAAAAAATCATGTCAACATGTCAACATTACTTAATTATAAGTTTCCGTGCATGGCACGGTCAGTGGAGTTAGCAACACACCAACATCCTTGCCATAAGCAACACTTGTACATGCATAACATGCATGCACTTCGAATTCCCGCGTTTCCGCACGGGACTGTGCGGAGCATGCGCATTACTCCAATTCGCCATGCTGTTGTTTCTTGCTCTTCGCTTTGCTGTGCTGACGGTAAAATTGTTTGACAATCGCAGCCAGTTTCTGATCACCACCACCCACCCCATCATCTCTCACTAGCATTCCATTCGAAACCATCCCGAAAGGGAGAACAGTAAGGATCGTGAGTCAGGCCGGCATTGAGCCAAGTGCGCCTATAATAGCGCGCAAGTGCATCATTTAAGCCATCCCGTAAGGGAGAACAGTAGGGATCGTGGGTCAGGCCGGCATTGAGCCAAGTGCGCCTACATTCGCCCACAAGTGCATCCCTACTGCATGCTCGTGTATTGACACATCTGAATTCAACAGTAGGGATCGTGGGTCAGGCCGGCATTGAGCCAAGTGCGCCTACGTTCGCCCACAAGTGCATCCCTACTGCATGCTCGTGTATTGACACATCTGAATTCAACAGTAGGGATCGTGGGTCAGGCCGGCATTGAGCCAAGTGCGCCTACATTCGCCCACAAGTGCATCCCTACTTCATGCTCGTGTATTGACACGTTTGAATTCTCGCCGGGCGATTGTTGCCCCAGTTAGTGTCGGCATTGGCCATACTAACGCACAGCGGTGCTTGCAATACTAGCTCTGGCATTGGACCAGAATATTGCATTACTGCATGCGGCAATTGTTGCCTATCTCCTGGTAATACAACGCATAATAGCTCCCAAACAGGTCGGCTTGTTGTGTGGTTGGTAATGGAGGGTATAACGTACCAATCCTTTAAAAAAAAATGCCAATAAACTGGCAACAATGTGTACACATGGTGCACTTGTGCATGCAGTGCAGATCATTTTTTGTAAGATACAGATAGTTCCCGGTTATAAGTCTACCCCCACCCTTTCTCCGTCTATTTTAAGTCGTAAAAGGTCGACTTACAACCGGAAAAATACGGTATATAAAAGTAAGATCTCACGTCTGTGTGTGGGGTACAAGTTGGTCAGTTGATCTACTGCCCATGCGTGTTCTACGTCATAGTGAAAGACTGCTATTTGCAACAATCCATCCTACACTACTCAACATAGTGCACCAGGTGTTAGAATAAATGCGAAAAAAATAATATTTCGCCCGCGTTCCTGACCAGCCACCCGCTGTTTTTGCATCAGGACGGAATTTTCCCGAAAATTACGGGCGACCCTGGCATAACTGGAAAATACTGCTCTTCAGTTTACTAGTATATGAATATCTCTAAAGTTTAAGTTTATGACGGGATTTATGCCATTAGATACTGAACATAAATTCATAATGGAGTACAGTAAACAAAATAACATGCAAACTGGAACAGTAGCACAGTCCCTTAACCCTTTCACCACTGTCGACGTATATATACGTCATGACGTGTGCACCTGCCCCACTGACGACGTATATATACGTCCTCAGTGTACGTCGCGTTTGTACTGATGCCTCAACATCAGTGGGGCCTGGAACTGTTCCTCAGTGGGCTGAAGGCCCTGATCGACGTGTACGCGGCGTATGTGGCCAGTCTGCACAGCAGAACAGCCGCGAGCATCGAGTTTGAAGTGCGTATTTTGGCATATCGTTCAAATAAATTGTTTTGCTCAAAGTTCGTTTTCGTCATCTTGCCCTGCTGTTTCTCGGCAAGGTAAGTAGCTCAACTACTCTGTGTCGATGGAAGGAGTCCTGTGAAGCAGTGTGAGGCCGGTAATGACTCTGAGGATGATTCTGGAGACAGCGAAATTGTGTCGGAGTCGTTTTCTGAGGATTACGAATTTGCTGCTATTCAAAAGATCGCAGCTGACTCGGACGCAGGGGATGCTGGAGACCAAAGAGATTTGGAAAGCGATGCTGAAGTCTCTGACACCTAGGCATGGTGTTCTGAGCAGGAGCTGTCTGTCGTGAGCCCGTTTGCTGAAGTTCCTCAACTAAACTGCGATCAAATTTGAAGGTCAGATTTTTGAAAATATTTGAATTTGAAGTCAAGTGTACTGGTCAGACATGCATGCAGATCACAATAGAGATGTGCATACATGTAAATATTGTATGTTGAGTACAGAGCCAGGCACCTACAGGATGGAGATTGCTATCTAATATGAATCCAGAATAATCCAGAATAGTCAACAATTGTGCAATTTTGAACCACTATCAGAAATTGCGCAGCCGATTGTTTCTTGAATTTTCATGCGTACGTACACCGGTACGCAGTATGCACTCGGCTGTTTAGGGAATGCTTCAGACTATTTTCATAGCTGGATTGTCTTGGCAGTGAGTGTCTAAATCAGAGAATGAGCAGTATTGCATTCTCCATCAATATGACTTTACCTGTGCCGTGCGCGTACGTACGTACGCGTGTGGCCAGAGATGAATCACCCTGGGATGCGCCGAGCACAGTGAGCCAACCGCTGCCACTGCACCGGCTGCTATTATAGCTGATGCAGTTGCTGTGGTTGCTACTCCAGTTACTCGGCATCCTCACTGTCCATCATATGGTTTTGTCTTGAAGTAGGTAGGGCTGCTGGAGGATTCAAGCTTTACGAGGCGCCCAAGAAAAAGAAAGACCCATTCTGGATCGCGAAGTTGCATATGATGCAAGCACGGTATAAAACGAGTTGCTGTACTCTAGTCTAGGTTGCCGTAGAACACCAGGATCATATCAAGCATGTTTATATGACATTTCTCCATTCTGAAGTCAACACTGACCATTTATAGCACTGCTTGCCATTGCTTGTCTGATCTTTGTCGTCAATTGCCTAAATTGATTGAATTTCGAGGAAAAATCGCCAAAAGTCGCATATCTAAATATGGTGTTACGAGTCTCGTACAATGAAATCCTGCAAAATTTCTTTGGATTCACTGTGCATATGTCCATACCCAACATCTCCAATCAATTTTGGACCAGAATATGCATTTTCAAAAATTGCCATTTTTGGCCCAGTGGGAGGTGATTTTCCGGTCAGGGCTGAAAGGGTTAAAGTACTGCTGGTGGAGCTGCCCTTGAAAAGAGTTGTTCATCAGGATCTTATAAAATACAGCAATACTAACTTGCATTGAGACAAGGGCAATGTGTTGTGTTCATTTTGTTTGCAGTGCCGGAACAGTGGGAAGACTTTCTACAAGCCTTAGCAAGTGGAAAAAGCTGACGACCAGTTCCGGCCATTGTTAGCATTCCTGTAGTGTTACACCACGCATACACATGCATGCATATGTCAACACACCTATACACAATTATTATGCATGACTGTAAGAGGTAATAATCAGTACGCATTTCACACGATGTAACCTGATGCCTTGATTTCATTTCGTGTTGGTACTTCTCTGTACTTTGATGCTACTTGCATGAAGCTAATCTTGGCCTAAGGATATGTTGGTAGGAAATATTGATAAGGAAACTTAGCATTGATTGAATTGAAGCATGCACGATTTCAGGTTTGTCTATTATGACGGTTTACCTCTCCTGGTGGTCCATCAGGTTTGTTGCCTTTGATTTATTGTCAATGTCGCTGCATTCAGCTTCAACAAAGTTGATGGTTTATTACTATTCGAGTCAGCATTCGTACAACACATAGTGCCTATAGTAGATGCATTTCCATTGATATCTGTGAAGGAGTATTTTCGTCGTGCATTATTGCATTTTGCCTCCAAGTCTGTTAATCAGTAATCGCAAACCTGTACTTTCGTTGATTAATGTCGCTGCACTCAGCTAGAACGCAGTTGGTTGTCCATTGATCGGAGAGAGCATTCTTACAGCACATAGTGCCTATCGTAGATGTAATTCCCCTGAAATCTGTGAAGAAGTATATGCTCTGTGCACTGTTACATTTTGCCTCCGAGTACGTTAGTTTGTCATTAGGAGTCTATACTTTTGTTGATACAATAATATCGTTGCACTCAGCAAGAATAATTGATTTTCATCCATATTGGAGTGAGCATTCTTACAACACGTGGTGCCTATCGTAGATTCAATTCCACTGGTATCTGTGAATAAGTATAATTCTCAATGCACTATTACATTTCGCCTCCAAGTCTGTTGCTAGTAGTTTGCTATAAAAAAAATCGGGTACTAGTACTTCGAGATTTATGTGAGCGGTTGTGTTGTGGTTTATAGGGAGTTTCCCTATCATTAGTTTTATTCAACTCGTACATGGCTGGATTCAACTCGTACATGGCTGGGGCAGCCAATAGGGAGGTTTCGCTCTACGTAATTACGTATGAAAATCCGTATGTCGTCCACGCCGGGGAGCGAGGGCCGCTTTCATAAGTAAAACTCTCTACGGATTTCCGTTGGAAAGCTGTTTCCTACGTTACGGCCTCCGTAGGACTTTTTGAAATATTTTTCGCATTTTCAGGACTTGTCCGTGGCAAAGTTCAAGCCGCGCGAAACACAAGGTAGATCTACACACACCGTACATCACTTGCAAAATACGATGGAAAACGCGGTTTCGGTTCGTGGTGCATGCGGTGGGCGCATGCAGCCAACACGTCTCCAAAGCAACAAGGCATGTTTAGCAGCCGTGGAGAAATCACGTAGAGCGAAACCCAACAGCTCTGAATTTCACGTTTAAAAATTACGTGCAGTTTCTACGTTATTTTCTTACGTAATTCCGTGGAATGAAACCTCCCTATTGAGCACTTTGGAGTGGTGATTGCAGGGTTTTAATAACCAACCATGGCGTATAACCCTAATGGGGCATTCACACGACAGGCACTTGCACGTTTTACAGGGAGTGACATACGAGAAAAGCGACTGTGTGGATTCACACAGCTGCAATCGACGACAGGCACGTTTGCATTTTTGAATGTTTCACCGTGGGTATTTCAAATTTTCAAAACACGCACATGATGATTACCATGCTCTAAAAGAGCCGCGTAAAAAATCGAGTCTTGTTTCGCGCTTTTTGGTGTAACTAGAGAGTGCACGTTTTTTGCCTTTTTTTCTCAAAACGTGGTTCAAATCTCACGTAACGTGTAATTTTTAGAGGTTAAGTTACACGTGCGATGTGACGTGGAATTTTGCCTGGCAGGATTCGGGTTTAGTTCGCACACATATCAAATCTTCCAACAAAATCGATAAAACTACGGAAATAATCTACGTGGAGATAAAAGTTTAACTGGGGAGGTTCTGCTCTACGTTTTGGGAACGCGACGCAAAGAATCACGCGAACTTTCTTCGCGTTTCCGTAACGTAAAGAAATGCTGTTCTGCTCTACGTTTCACCTAGAGAAGTCACGTGGAATGTGTACTGGGAATTTCCCCTTCCATATTTGGCAGTTTTCTGCATGCAGTTGATCGATACCCAGCAAATCCGTACGCATTTTCTCTGCGTGTGCCACAACGTAGAGAACCCCATCTCTGCGTAGAAATCTGGAGCCAAAACACGCGAAGCCGTAGACTCTAACCCAGACACCTGCTCTCTACGTGATTTCTCTACGTTTCACGTATAGCAGAACCTCCCTATTATCACTCCCCCCCCCTCGTGACCGCGGACTCCTGCATATACACTCACACAATAACCACACAACTGTTTAGGGATAGCGCGCTTCTTGTATTATGCCAAACTTGACACGCTGAGTCCAGCTTGACTCAGATGAGTTCCTGACTGCTATTTACTGCTCTAACATGAAGCCGTGCCTGGAGGAAGCGAAAGAGCGAAAACAAAACAAAATTCTGGCCTTCTGCAAGCAATAGCAAGTAATGAGTGCCGGCTGTGTAAAGTCGCACAACCATGAAGTCGACCGGATGATGGTGGGTACCGCCGGGTGTCCGGCACACATCTTGCTCTGCTGCTCCACCTGCGCATACCTTAATTATACGGTGGTGCGCTTACGGCGGGCTGCCTGGGCCCCAGATGCCTCCCTGATGCGCCACGGGGTGCAGTCGAAGCACCTGTATCACTTCGGTGATCCAAATGCGAATGCAGCCTTGCCGTCGCCCGCCGCCTACGCGACCAGCCTGAGACTGGGCCTGCCGCATTTGGCGCTTCTAAACGCTGGGATCCGGTAGACAGCTCACTGGGCTGCCAAATACGTGACTGGCTTGAGGACAGTTCCATACTGCACGGCAGGGCGCCCAGCTCAGGTCGCACGCCGTAGCGGCGTGAGCTGGGTGCGGTGAGGGTTGGTGATAACTACAGTTTCCTCCTTCCTCCTCCGGAAACTTCCATTTATCACTCCCCCTCGTGACCGCGGACTCCTGCATATACACTCACACAATAACCACACACCTACTTCCTCCGCGTCATCGTAATTGTCGCAGTTTGACTAGTGACTTGTCACTTGTTACTGACAACTCCATAAGCTAAGCCATTCAAAACTTATTCCACAATATGATAGTCTGAAGACTAGAGTAACGTTCCAGGACAGTTGGACTGAGAGTTTTCAGGCAGAGATGAAGTCCTCGTCGTCGCTGATGTCTATGGACGCAAAAATCTCTTTCCGAAATATTTCAAGGAAGGTTGAAAGTTGGTCGCGCCTCATCTCAAACGCTTTGACTTTCTCCACAGGACAAGAGCTGCCTTGCTTGTCGTCTGCTAGCTCTGGATGATTTCTACTTCACCACCAACGAAGCCTAGTAAGAATACACGATCGTTGCGAGGTCGGTTGATTATCGTCGGCGGAATCACCTCGATGTTGAAATGAACTTTTTTTAGCCGTGGCATGCCCATTTATTTTATCTGTGTGGTCACAGCTCATGCAGGTAAGTGTACTATCACGTCCAGCGCGCCCTCTTTTTCAGCATCATTGGTATACCATGGTACGGCACCTGCGCGTGCATCACTAACGTTAGCACTACGTGTAGAGTCTACACAGCTCTTGCAGGTACAATCATGTACTGAGTGTCTCGGCCAGAGCGACAGATTTTATCGCTGTTGCAGGCATTTAGTTTGCTGACCCGTCGATGTTTCTCCAAGAGCTGCCACTTGTTCCACGAAGTCATTCTCACCCCAGCTCAGGTAAAACAGTGACGAGGCTTGAGTGAATGGCCATAAGCACGAGAAATGTGCAGGCTGCAACGCCTGACTGATCTCAGCGAGTCGAAATTACCATCGCTGCGACATCAGCGAAGAAACTGCGTCTTGTTCAAAAATTCCAGCTTCCAATAACAGAAAATAGAACTTTGCCGTCACCCTATACTGATGGCTATCGCCTATGTCCGATTCCTTGCCTCTGGTACGAGTGCTGGTGAGTAAATACCCCGTTTTATATCAAAAGTCAAACTGCGACAATGTCGATGACGCCGAGGAAGTACAAAAGAAAGAAAAAGAGAAAGGGTCCAGCTGGCAGCAAGCAGAACACTTGGCGTTTTTAAATCTTAGAAACACGTTCAGGACTTTTTTGTTTTTAAGAACTTTAGCTCTAGGTTTACATTTTGGTATTTTTTAGCTTTTCGTTTTTTTCTTGTTGTTTCTTCCATGGTTGCTCCATTTCGCCTCTGACGTCGCAGTGGTAACCGAAACAAAGTTCACAACAGAGAAGGTCCAAGTGTCGGACACTATGTTCCCGGGCTATAGCCCTCCATTCAGGCTTGACCGCACAGCACACGGTGGTGGAGTTGCAATCTGGGTGCGATCTACTCTCCCAGCCTTGATCATCGATGAACTGGCCGCCCCCCAGCATGAAGTCATGTGGGTATCCATCCAGCTCAGCGCCGGGCACAAGATTGTCCTGGGAGGTGTCTACCGGCCGGGTTCTTGCGGGCCCGGTGACCTCTCACTTATCCATCATCTCGACGACACCCTTCCTTTGGCCCGTCAACACGGCGCTAGTCTCATTCTTGCTGGGGACTTTAACGTTCACAACCGTGCCTGGCTAAACAGCTCTAAGACCACACCGGCGGGCGAAGCACTTGAGGACACTTGTGCCGCGCACCTCCTTACGCAGCATGTTCAGACTCCTACTCGTGGCGACAATACCCTTGACCTCGTGATGTCTACCTTCAACTCCCCAGTATTGACAACCGCCACACCCCCTCTTGGGCGGTCTGACCACGTTATCGTTCTATCCGACTTCGTAGGCATATTACCTTGCCACGAGCCTGCAGCAAAGCGAACTGTCTGGCGGTACAAGAGCGCAGACTGGCATCGCCTCCGAGCTTTCCTTCGCAACTCTCCATGGCACGACATCATAACTGATGACCCGGACACCTCCTGTGTGCGGGTAACCTCCACTATCAGAGGCGCAATAGCCAAGGGACTTTTTTTTTTTTTTTTTTTTTTTTTTTACTAAGGCCACAGCTTCCAATCATGACATGCAAAGCAGCGGTGCAGCATCGCAGGCATGAATCGTGGACGTGGTGACGGGGTCTGATGTGCTCCACCGACCTAGGGTCTCGGCTTCACTGCACAGCAAACGCGTCGAAAGAAAACGGGGGCTAATAATTATCGGGAGATGGGGGAAGAAGAAGAGAAGAAAGAAAGAGAGAGCTTACCACGAGGCCAAGTGATCCGAAATGGTGGACACCGGAATGTACAGCTGCTATGAGGGCAAAGGACAAACGTTGGCGTTCCTGGAGAAAACACCCGAACGATCTTTCACTCAAAAAAGCTTTCCTCCGCTCCGTTACCACAGCCGTCAACATCCTAAGGCGATCCCAGGAAGCTAAAGAGGTCAGTATCCGTCACAGCCTGTCCACGGGCTCACTCAAGGACAAAGAATGGTGGACCAAGTTAAAGTATGCTAGTGGGGACGGACGTAACACGGACATTCCTCTCATTGTTGATGCGGGCGGACGGGAGTTGGCAACTAGCCATGAGAAATCGGAGGCCTTTGCCACCTTCTTCTCCAGGAAGTGCAGTGTCACTGGCCAGGATCTTACTTCTGACGACTTACCTGACCTTGTTGCAACCGGAGCACCGGCACTCGCAGCCGTTCATTTTCGCCCCGCCACTGTCTACCGTCTGCTAGCGCGACTCGACATATCAAAGGCGACTGGTCGTGACGGCATTTCAGCCCGGGTCCTGAAAGAATGTGCCAAAGAACTTGCGAAGCCTTTGTCCCAGCTATTCGCTCTCTGTTTCAGGTGCGGAGTTCAACCAGAATCTTGGAAGACAGCTAACGTGGTACCGATCC